ATCATCCTCCCTCCTAAGAGCCAGGTCGGTGCCTCCCCATGGCCCTCTCAAGTCACGGGGGCCCATCACAGAGGCACAGCACCCAGCTTACAGGAGCCACCTGCAGTGCATTAAACAGAAACTACAGGGGGTTATACAGTAATAAGCCTGGCCTCAGGAAAAAAAGTTAATAGAAGAGAGCTTTCGGTCATTTCTATTTGGATTACAAAAGTAATATACTTTCATCGTAGGGACTTATAAAATTCAGCATGCACCTTCTAAGAATAAGGACAATGTCCTACATGACCATAATACCTTTGTCACAACCAAGAATATTATCATGAATAACCTCTGATACAAAGTCCAACTGGGAGGTGACTCAGTTTGGGTACTGTTTTGTTGTTTGCTGACCCAGGATCAAACAAGGTCACACATTGCATTTGGTTATGTCTCTTTGGGACCTGTAATCTACAGACCCACAGGAATCCATGGACTTTTTCTCAAAGGGCCTGTTAGTAAATATTAGAGTTTGAATGCCAGTAGTGTCTGTTGCAACAATTCAACTTTGCCACTGCACTGTGAACACAGCCATGGCTGATACATAAATGAATGAACGTGGCTGTGTTCCAGGAAAGCTTTATCTACAGAAACAGGCAGCATCCTGGATTCACCCACAGGCCATACCTTGCTGACCTCTGTCTCTGACCAACAGCCTACTGTCATTTTCTTTCCCTTTTTTAAAAAAATGTTTTTATTGATTTCAGAGAGGAAGGGAGAGGGAGAGATAGGAACATCAATGATGAGAAACATTGATCAGCTACCTCCTGTACACCCTCCACTGGGGATCGAGCCTGCAACCCAGGCATCAAACTGGGATTTCTTGGTTCATAGGTGGATGCTCAACCACTGAGCCACCCTGGCCGAGCCCGTTTTCTATCAGCATGTCCCATGGTCTGGACTTGTCTGATTGTGTCTTCATGATCAGATCCAGGTTAAACATTTTTGTCAAGAGTTCTACACAAGTGTCTCAGTCCATTCGGGCTACAATAACAAAATATACTGGGTGGCTTATAAACAACATTTATTTTTCACAGTTCTGGAGGCTGGAAGTGCAAGATCAAGGCACTGATAAATTTATGTCTGGGAATGCTATTTCCTGGTTCCTAGAAGATGTCTTTCCCTGTGTTCTCACATGGTAAAAAGGGACAGGGAGCTCTCTGGGGTCTCTTTTATAAAGGCATAATCCTACTCATGGGGGCTCTGCCCTCATGACAGTCACCTTCCAAAGACCCCACCTCCGAATACCACCCCATTGAGTGAGGGGTAGATTTTAAGACATGAATTTGGAGGGACACAACATGCAGTCTATAGCACAGATGTTGTATCCTCACACTGCGTCCCACTGGGAGACTCCTGTCAGGTGCTTAAAGTTTGATCACTTGGTTTACTGGCTGTTCATTAGACCTCTCCATTGTGAAGGTGCATTTCTCTGGTCTGGTACTAGGCAATCTGTAGTTGTTTGAGACCATGGGACTATCTTACCGCCCCACTGATTCATCTAAGGACTCCCTGGTCATCCTTACCTTACTCTATTGCCCTGGGGGTTAGAAAAATGTGATTTCTCACCATGCCTTCTATTCTTTATTAGCTGGCATTCTGTGAACAAGAGATGCCTCCTTTTTTTTACTCCATTCCTTTAGTATCATGCATTTGATTTTTATCCAACATGTTGTAATCCATCACTTAGTTTTTACATGCAGATGATCTGTTTAGCCAGTGGGAGGTTCAGGTTGGCCTTCAGCCCCATCACTTTTTGAACACTTCCTTGCCTTCTGTCTAGCACAGGCTCATTAGTATATTAGACCTGGAATTAGCCCAGGGGTGGGCAGACTTTTTGACTCGAGGGCCACAATGGGTTCTTAAACTGGACCGGAGGGCCGGAACAAAAGCATGGGTGAAGTGTTTGTGTGAACTAATATAAATTCAAAGTAAACATCATTACATAAAAGGGTACGGTCTTTTTTTTTTTTTTTTAGTTTTATTCATTTCAAACGGGCCGGATTCGGCCCGTGGGCCATAGTTTGCCCACGGCTGAATTAGCCATTTCTCCAGGGAACCTGGTTCTTTCCAGTGGGGTGCAGTGCTAGAGATCAAAGTCAGTGTCAGGTGTACTCATAGTAGCTCTGGACTATTCCAAAGAGCAGCCAGTTTAAAAAGTTAGATTTTCTTTTTTATAGCACTTCGCTAAAATGGGAAAGGCTGATTATGTTTTCATTTTCTGTGGCCTGTGTATTTTTGGGAATTGTTTATTCAAGCCTTTTGCCCACCTTTATTTTGGCATGTTGATCTTTTTATCATTAAATGAGTTAATGCATTCAAGCACTAGAATGGCACTTGGCACACAGTAGGATTAGCTATTATTACTTGGTATCCATCCTTTTTTGGAAGTATTAAGAGTGACTTTTTAAAATATATAGATATAGATATAGACATATACTTGTATTGATTGCAGAGAAGGAAGAGGGTAAGAGATAGAAACATTAATGATGATAATCATTGATTGGTTGTTTCCTGCATGCCCCCCGCTGGGGATCAAGCCCACAACCCAGGAATAGGGCGTGACCAGGAATCAAACCGTGACCTCCTGGTTCATAGGTTGATGCTCAACCACTGAGCCATTCCGGCTGGGCAAGAATGACTTTTAAATTCAGTCCCCAGACTAGCGTTGCTCTTCTAGTCACCATGGGAACTGTACCTGCATCAGTGGTGCTGCCTGCCCACTGCCCAAGGTTTATGGGTGTACAAGTCACTCCCCCTGCCCCTCTGGTCCATTTTATGATTGTGGGCCAGCAGTTGACCCCACTGGTGGGGGCCCAGGCCCCAAGACATGCATGCAGTTCCTCAGCACTGGGAGAGGCCCAGGGCCAGGCAGTTTACTGCTCCTTTCCCACTGCAGGAGGTGGACTGGGAAGTGGAGCTGGCCGTGGTCATTGGGAAGAAAGGCAAGCACATCAAGGTGAGGTTGAGTGGGTGGTACCCACTATCCCTGGCCTTAGGAAGTGGTTGGCTTGGGCACTTGCCTTGTTCCTGGCCTAACACTTTTGGTGAGCTCTGGCTACTAGCCTGGGATAAAGGCTTTGTATGGGGGCTAGTGTCACTGTTATCTAACCTCTAATCTGGCCAAATCCCCTGCCCCCATAGGCCACAGATGCCATGGCTTATGTGGCTGGCTTCACTGTGGCACATGATGTAAGTGCTCGTGACTGGCAAATGAGACGCAATGGAAGGCAGTGGCTGCTGGGAAAAACCTTTGACACCTTCTGTCCCCTGGGCCCTGCTTTGGTGACCAAGGACAGTGTAGCAGGTAGGTCTCGGACAATACCCATGATGACGCATCTTACTCTGCTCGGATATGTCAGAGCAAAGAAATAGCAACGTTCAGGAAATGGGAGTGTGGGGACAGTTCAATGTGGAGCCCCCTCCCCACCTGCCTTTCACTGATTCCTTACAGAACAAGTCTCAACCTGGGCTCAGTGGGCCTTCTTCCACATCCCCTCACGCTCTAGAGGACCACAGCCACAGAGGTGGTGAATCTGCGTTCATCAAGCAAATTACAGGCAACAGTGTTCCCCTCATGGTGGTTAGGCTCTCTAGCTGCCACCATCTGGGAGTCTTTAGATTGGAAGGAAGCAAGGCTGGCCCCTGAGCATCACAGGGAATGGCTGTCACAAAGCCCATGCATTTTCCTGTCAGGGAGACAGGACCAACAGGACCTTGCCCAGCCACTGTGGCCAGGGCAACACTGGCTACCAGTAGCAAGGGCACCAGGTGCCAGGAAGAAAGGCTATGGTGCAGAGGGCAAAGCATAGCCATTTGGGTTGGGGTGTGTGTCCGGGTGGGGGTAGCCATCAACAGTGAAGTTATTGTGTTCTGGCTGCTCTAAGAGGGTGTGTTTGTAAATGTGTGAAACAAAAGTTAAAATAAAAATGTGGTGAGCCAGGACACTTACTAGTGAGCCATCACCTGCCAGTCAGGTGCAGGACGCTCACTGCCCTGCTCCTGCAGTTTCCTTTTTGCATTACAGGTGCCGAGTCTTTTTTATTACTGTCAGCCTTTGCTGTGGATAGACGTCCATTTTTTAAGGCAAAATTGCCATTTTTTCCCTCATCCTGGAGGGTCTGGGACACATCCAGGTAGGGTTGAGGAAGAGCAGGAAGAGGCCCAAGGTGGTGTTTTAATGCATTTCAGATCCACACAACTTAAAGATCTGCTGCCGGGTGAATGGGGAGGTGGTCCAGAGCAGCACCACCAATCAGATGGTGTTTAAGACAGAAGAGCTGATAGCCTGGGTCTCCCAGTAAGTGAGATGAAGCCCTGCCCCACCAGCTACCTGCAGCTGAGCTGAGCCTTCCATCCCTGGCTGTGGCCCCTTAGCCCCTGGTCTCACCTGGCCCTTTTGCCTGCCCAGGTTCGTCACACTTTACCCCGGGGACATCATCCTGACGGGTACCCCCCCAGGTGTTGGTGTATTCAGGAAACCTCCTGTCTTTCTCAAGGTAGGTTGGCTAAAAGGGGGAAAGGGAGAAGGACCCAGAGGCTGACAGGTGTGGCTCAGGCTTGAGAAACCCAAGCCTGTGTATGTATGTGTAGACTTGTGTGTGTCAAACTAAGAACTGACAACCTGGCGACCACTCCATTGCAGAAGGGCGATGAAGTCCAGTGTGAGATTGAAGAACTGGGTGTCATCATCAACAAGGTGGTGTGATGGCTCCTGCTGCAGGTCCTGGACGTAAGAGCCGGGCATCCATTCTCACTGTATAGGGCAAGGCCCAGTGCTTGCCCCCTCAAGGCTCCTCATCTAGTGTGTGTTGTGGGTGGAGGGAGCCTCTCCTCTTCAATAAACTTCTCAGACTATGTCAGTAGCTTGGCTTCTGCCTGTCATTTAAGGTTTGTTTCAGGGATCAAGATAGGACATTGCCACAGGGTGGGGAAGGAGAGCAAACTACATACCTCAAATCACACTGCTGGGCTTGGAAAGAGGACTTGTCCAGTCCAGGCCTCTCGTTTGTCACACCAAAGGACGGGAGAAAGCAAGAGGCAATGAGACAATCAAACCTCAATGATTTTATGGGCAGCCTCTGGCTCCAGGGCTTGGTGTGTTCTGGGGCTGAGAAGTCTTAGCACAGGCTTAACCCACAGTTCTAGCCACAAATGAATTGCTGGATGAACTGTTCCAGCTTCTCCTGATTGTCCTGTCTGGCAAATGTAGGGGACAGGTGGAGCATGGGGCCTGCAGGGCTGGGCTTCTGCTGCAGCACCTGTGCCATGAGAAGGACTGTGAGCACTCACCAGGGAGAAACCTGCAGTGAGACCTCTGGCCCCTTAGGCCATAGGGTCTGAACACAATGCAGCCTCTTATACCGTCCCAGTAGAATAAAGTGGTGGTTTGGGAGACCAAGGGCAGGGAAACCATCCCATCTCCAACTCCTGTCACACCTGTTCTTGGGAGACACTTGGGAAGACCCAGGGTGGGCACAGATGGGCTTCCCTGAGCAGCTCTATCAAGATGGAGGCAGGGGGCGTAGGAGGAGGGTGAGAATGGCTCCGCTCACCCCCAAGTCTCTGAAGGTCCAGACAGCTTTGATGGCGAGACTTGGATCCGCACACTCTGGTGAAAGAAAGAAGTTGAGCTCTAGTGGGCACAGAGAGCTACTGGCATACGCGTCTCTTGTCAAAAGAAGGAACCATCCAGGGCAGGGCTCAGACTGCACCTAAAGGCCTTTCTACTCCAGCCCTCCTTCCTGGAGTGGGGCTGTCACTGCCCAGTAGAGGGCAGCAACCACCAGCAAGCCCCTGCCTCCTGGGTGCCACCTGGCTGCTGGGGACTCACCGAAGAACCCGTCCTCCTGGGCAGTGGCCTGCAAGAACTGCAACAGCTGCTCCACGTAGCCCGACTCTGTGGGGCAGAGGAGACTTAGGCCTGGCACAGGCACAGCCTAAGCTCTCAGCCCCTCCCTAAGGATGGCCAGGAGAATTCGGGCCTCACCTGTGTCAGGCAGCTGGCCCTGGTGGAGAAAGGTGGCAGCCTGTGCGAAGGCCTTGAGCAGCGGGTTAAGCAGGCGGCACAGGAAGAGGAAGAAGTCGGGGCAGCGAGACTGCTGACTGAGCTGGAGGGGGACAGACCAGGTCAGGGCAGCTCCCACTGTCTCCCCTGCCTCCTTCCCCAGTGGCTTCTCCCAACGCACCCTGAAGTACCGGCCCTCAGCCTCCTCGAAGTCATCGCTGTCACTGTCACTATCAGTAAAGTCCCCACTCTGTTTCCACAGCAGCTTGGCCCTCAAACGCTGTCGCCCTGTGTCACAAGCCTGCCGGGAGCCTGGGGTCTGGGAGCCGGAGGAGCCATTGGTCTGTCAGGCTGGCCAAGATTCAGCCCTGAGCCCCCAGATCAGGTACATGGCAGACCGGGCACATGGAGGAAAACCAGTAAAAGCAGACCTAGGGACCTCAAGAAGCCTCTTGGGGCCACACAAGACCCTGCCAACTTGCAGGGTGAGAGGAAATAGGCGCCCACCCTCAAGGTCCATAGCCCTGTGGATAAGAAATGTGGGGGCAGGAGGAGTGCAGAGACCCTCAGCGGTACAATTGTGCAACTCTGTCATGACAGCTACATGGGCCCAGGGCTGGGATGGCCCACCAAGTCCCAAGGCACAGAATGGCAGAGGCAGGGGCTCTGTCTTCAGCGGCCCTCCTACCTCCTCAGCAACCAGAAGCCCACATTGGATGAGACGGTCCAGCACCTCCTGACAGTAGCAGTAGGAAGACTGGCAAGGCTGGGGAGAAGGGCGTCCATGTAGCTTCAGGAGAGCCAGGCAGGGCTTAAGAGCAGGGGAGGGGCAGGCACAGCCCCTCCTATAACTGAAGGGGTGCCAGGCCCAAGTGGGTCGGTGGGAGGCCTGACCTGCAGCAGCAGCATGTCCTGTGGCAGCAAATGCAGCAGCAGCAGGACCTGGCGGTACAGCTCGTTCTGGCTCAGCAGCTCGATGCCCTGCAGCTCCCAGGGCCCCTCTGGTGGCACCTTGCTTGCCAGCAGTGCCCGAACTGCACAGGCTAGAGAGGGGGCCAGGCATGAGGAGGAAGCCATCCCCTAATCTGACACCCCACCCATCCCTGAGCCCTCAGGACTCACCACCCAGGGCCTCACTCAGGAAGGCAGGCAGCAGCTGGGTGCTCAGGCGTGCCAAGTGCATGAGGCCTGGGCCGGGCCGAGTGACCACCAGCAAGTCGCCCTGGTGGATGCGCAGTAGAGCCACGTGTGCCCGCAGCAGGCTCAGAGTGTGCCGCACCAGGCACCGCAGCTGACCGGAGAAGCCCACGTCAAAGCCACGCAGCAGCGTTTCCTCTGTCAGCCAGGAGAACTCCCCCAGGAGCTGCGACAGGTACACACCCTGGTGGGCAGCACCAGGGCTGAGCAGCAGGGTCACATCCCTTCCCCAGCCACCCATCTGCCCCTGTCACACTGCCTACCTTCTGGTGCTTGAACAGCAGCAGCGTCGCCATAATGGCTGTGCTCATGACTGCAGAGCTTGCCACGCTGGCTGTAGCCGGGATTGGGGGATGCTGGTCAGGGGCCTAGGTCCAGTAGCCAGTTCCATCACCCAATGTTTGAGCTAAGAACAGTCCTCCCCTGCCTCCCTGGCAGCAGCCTGCCTCCCTACAACTCTACCCCAGGGAGTTGTGGCCACCCTCCCTGCCGGGTGCTTGGGGACCACCTTCCCAGTGGAGAACTGGCGTTTACCAAACGTATACGGAGACAGGCAGGGAGCCCAGGGACCTTCCCTGCCTTACAGGCCTACCCACCAGCCCACAGTCTCTGCCACAGAGGGGCGCCTAAGAAGACAGTAGTAATGACCATTTTGTGAAGAGTCCCTCTGTGCCAGGCACTGTGTTAAGTCCCTCACGTGCATTGTTCCAGTCAGTCAGCCATTTACAGTGCAGATCAGAGAGTGATCAGCGGTGAACTTGAGACAGGGCCAGGGTGACCGTGGATCCAGGCCCCTGCACTCTGCACAACCCATACTCTGCAGCTCAGGCAGCCGTCTGTGGGCGCTCATAGGGGCTCCCCCATGTCCTCCCTGGTTGCCTCGCTCCTCACATACCCCAGGTGGGCCACACATGAGGGAGGGTCAGGTACAGAAACCCACTTGGAGTGGACGGCCCCTCAAACCTGCTAACCCAGAGAGAAGGAACAGCTCAGGACCCTCCCCAAATGCCCAGACCTAGTTCCCCTCACCATTCAGGATGTGACGGCTCAGCCTCCTGACCAAGAGCTGGTCTTCTTCCTTGAGGGCCAGAAGGGGCCCAGTTATTGGGGTCCACTCCTGCTCCTTCTCAGTGTCTGGGACGACAGTACTGGGATAGAGACAGATCATAGGATGAGGGGAGCCAACCTAAAGACAATCTTTGGGAAGCCCAGAGCTTTCTCAGAAAAGGGTGTTGCCCCAGCCCAGCCCCAGGGCAGGGATGGCTCCCCAGCCCTTTCCAGCCCCTGCCATTTCCCACACTGAGATTAGAGGTAAGGAGGGGTGTCAGGCTCTGTTCTAGATGACCCAGAATATCTGATGAGAGGAGGCTGGAGCTGGTAACGTCTATGGGTATGTGTTGAAGGACTGCTTGCTGGGCCCCCGAGATCCACACCCTCCCCTGCCACTATCCCTACCTTCGGCCCAGCACAATGGGCTGCAGCAGCTGCTCCATGGTCTGCCTGCTGCCCCAGCAGCTTCTTGAATTGATGGTGTATTCCTGCCCAGAACAAGACTCTCAGGTGGCCTACCTGCCCACCAGGACACCTGCACACAGCCCACGGAGGTAGGTGAGACACTCCCTGCAGTGGCTCTGAGGGCCAAGCTGCCAGAAGCCCCACGACAGACCACAGATCCTCCCAATTTTGCCCAACAGACATCATACCTGCAGGGAGAAAGGCTGGGCCAGGTGCACACGGACACAGACCTGGGGGCCACGGCACCAGCCTCGCAGGCTTCGTAGGACAGCCAGAGCTCCTGTCCACAGCCCCCGTGGGGCTGTGGCCTGCAGGAAGGAAGGGGCTAAGGGAGCTGGCTCACCTGGAGCAATGCTCTCTGCTCAACTTTATCTTGCAAACTGGTACATGACCATGACCTCTCCAAGCTCATGTTCGCATCCATGAAATGAGAAATCCCTCCCTAGTGGGGTCTTTGAGGATGAAATAGAGGATTTCTGTATCAGCCGGGCAGGCGCCACAGGATGATGACTGTAGGGGGAGAATTCCTTTGCACCTCCCTGACCCTAGCGCTGAGGGGCATTCAGCCGTAGGACATAATATATTGTGCCTCCTCTCTGGAGTTGGTGTCCACTTGGAGTCCCAAGTGACAGGAGGGTCTCACATGGTACGTATCGCATGCATCTGGAACCAGGTCATAGGTGATGGCCACCGGCACCAGCATAGCATCTTGGACAACACCCATCTGGACCGCCTGCACCACCAGTCCCAGCCAGGCCTGGCCCAGGGCTGACAGCCAAGGCCCCTGGGTCCCAGGGAGCTCTTCCAGGAAGATGAGCAGGGGCTGCCCACTGACCAGCAGCTGCTCCACAACCTGGAAGGGGTGGGGGTATGGTAGCAGAGGCAGGTGTCAAGGCCAGAGCAGCAACAGGCACTGATACACTGGCCTGGGCCCCAAACAAAACCACTGGGGGCACTCACCGCTTGGACCACAGCCCTTGCAAGAATCCCTTCAGAGCTGTCCAGGGAGAGGTTGGCCTCTGGGGGCAGGAAAAGCACCCCAAGCTTCCTCAGCAGAGCTCTGTGGGGCACAGGGCAGACAGAGAAGGGACTCAGGAAATGGGACCAAGCAGGAGTCTAGAAAGAGCCTCAGCCCACCCAGGGCAGCCTGGGTCCTGCCAGAACATGCTGAAGCCAGGCATGGCCCCAGAACCCATAGCTGACCATCTGAGCCCACAGGCTGCACTGGTAGAAGGTTGGGAACAAAGAGGCCAGGAAGAGAGCCTGGGGGTAGCTGCTGCCAGCACACCCCCATCCACATCCCCACATCCCCACGCATGTCTGGGGGCACAAAGCGTTTACCTGAGGATGGGGGAGCAGGCACATGGGTCCCAAGCCACACGGACCACGCCCAAGCCCTGGGAAAGCAGGACAAAGGGCAGCAGGAGCCCATCCAGGAGTGACTTGTGGGTAGAAAGGAGGACGAGCGGCGAGCCCTGCTTGGGGAGAGCCAGAGGGAAGTGCCAACCCACCTCCACCCTGATGATGCAGGGAGCTGAAACCAGCCACAGAGTGACAAAGGGTTCAGCTGGGTAGTTCTTCCTTGGAACACATTTCCCAAAAGGAGAGGAGCTCTGTCGACAACTTTTAAGGTAACGCACTGATGTAATGATTGTTAAGACCGTGACGAAAAGACATTAGAGGAAGCCCCCTGGGAGCAGAGCTTGAGACAAGAAGAGATGGCCATCAAAGAGCAATGGCGTTTTCCCACCAGGCAGTGAGGATGGTCCTGACTAAGGGCTCAGCCTAGCTCTGCTCCTGCCATGCCATGCCATCCCCCATCCCATCCCATCCCATCCCATCCCCTCCCCTCCCATCCCATCGTGAGGAGGGCTTACCGTCTGGGCAGCCTTGTGGACCATCTTCATGTGGCCCTTGTGGAGCTGCACATTCAGGAAGAGGCAGTTCAGGAACCGCAGAACCACCCAGCTGAACAGCCTGGAGAGCAGCGAGGCCCCGTCTGAGGTGTGGCACGCACTGCCCATGACACAGGGCCCCTCAGCATCTCCGTGAGCCTCCAATACTGTCCCCACTTTACAGAAGAGGAAAGTGAGGCCCAGAGAGATTACAGAAACTGCTGAGTAGTAGAGAAAGCTAAGAGGTACTGGACTGGCAGGTGGGCCTGACACCACAGCCCATGCCTGTGAGATTCTGACACCCCCCAGGAAGACCTCATGGTGCAGCTGCTTCACAGCAGCTTCAGAGCATCTCCCTGCCCCCGTTTACCCCAAAGGAGATTAGAGGACTAAGACTCACTCCAGGCATAGCCTGGCCGGCTCTTTGCAAACTGCTGGGAAAGGTGAAATAAAAAGGGAGGAGTTTGTGATATGAGAAGGAAAAGGGATGGCTGAAGGGCACTGGCTTAAAGTGAGGGCGGGAGCATAGGTGCAGCTAGCCTGAAGATGTGGTGGACAAGCATCATGTCCTCATCTGATGGCACAAGATGGAGCATCAACTGACAGCGGGTCAGGCTGAGAAAGACAGTCTGGATCGGAGCCTGTGCCCCTTGCAGAACTGCACTCAGAAGGAAGCAAAGCCACAGTGTGTTCTTCTCTACCAATGTTTGGCTGCTCAGTACAGAGAAGGCAGGTACCTGGGTTCAAAGGTACCTGTGATTGTGCCCAGTGACTCCTTCACAGGGGAGCTATCATCATGAGGGGCCCTGGAATTGAAGCCGCACCAGGAGTAGCTGATAGTATAAAGGTGGCCAGGTCAGGGGACTGGACGTCTCAACAAAGTCAAAAGGATTTTCATGTGGAGGCTGGTCACAGTCACCAACCTCCTCTACTCTCTATCCTTCCCAGTTAACTTTTCAGTTCTGTCAGGACAGCTGAGTCTGACACACACTTCCCTGCACCCTTTTTCCCTCCGTAACTCACTCATCCTCTGGCTTAACTTTAACCATCATCGTGTGCTAAAGCTTTTCAAATGTACAACCCTGGTCTCAGCCCTCTTCTGAGTTCCAGACTCACATAAACAAATGCCTCCACCAGCATGTCAGGTGTCTGAAACTCTGTATCCAAACATCCTTTGTGGGCCAAACACACTCCTCCCAAACCCGCACCCTCCATCCACACCACCAGGTACTTGACCAGAAAATGGCTCTTCCATGAGTTCTCCCCTTTCCCTCACTGTCCCACCCTGACCTCTAATCCATCAGTGAGTCCTGTTAGTTTCAGATTGGTCTCTCAGTCCATTTTTCCAACTTCTACTATCACCTCCCATCAAAGCCATCACCATGTCTCACCTGGACTAACAAAACAGCTTCCCAGACAGTCTTCTGATCTCTACTCTTGATCTCAATTAATCTTGTTGTCATTCCCTACTTTCCATTAGTTGTCACTGCACTTAGAAGTCAAATACAAACTTCCTGTATGGCCCTGTGTATCTGGTCCCTTCTACCTCTGATTTCATCTTCACAGCTCACTGCCAGCTTCCAGCTACCGCAGCTTCATGAGCAATCCCGGCCCTTTTCTGTGGCCATAGCTCATACTCTTCGCTCTAGTGGGACTGTTGGTCCCATCCTTGCACCCCTTCCTCCAAGGCTGGCTCCCTTTCCCCCTTTCATGTCTGGCTTTCAGGTCTCTTACTGCCCTCCAGGTTCTCTGAGTCCCAGCACTAATCCTGTTCTTGCAGCCATATGTATCTCTGTTCGCTTTGACATGTGTACCCCTTCATTTCCCTGGGAACAACACTGTATCTAAAAAGAGCCCAGACTGTGCAAATGAATATGAGAGGGAGCAGGTGATGACAGCAGGATGAATTCGGGAGGGAGCATGGGGACCTATAAGATGGGGGAACCACTGCCTGTCTCCCTCTTCTCCACAGGAACCTGACCTGGGAGGAGGTAAAAAGCTGGAGGTGGGTACTGGAATCTGGGCCACAACCAGAGGCTCCTGGGTGAACCCAAAATTCCCAACCCAGGACAGTCAACACCCAGGCCAGCAGTGGTGAGAAACTGGGCTGGAAGCTGGGGGCTGGCTCAGATCAAAGCCCCATCCCATATCCAACTGGTCCCACCACGGAGCCAGATGTCCTCAAAAGGCCAGTGTCCAGATCAGGGGCTCCCTCAGGCCCTCTGGTAAACACACCATCTGGCTCCCCAGTGGGGGAGTCCAGTCCTTCCCCAAGCCCAGCCAACACTCACTCTCCAAAAAGGCAGAGGCCTAGCCTAGGGACTGAATGTCCCTCAGCACAGTTACCTGAGCAGGAAGGGGCGGGGCGGGGCCTGGATGTGACCCAGGATGCGCTGTACCTCCTTCTTCACTGAGCTGGGCACCTGGCCTTCCCCAGCTCCCCCTGGAGCCCTCCCTGAGATGACATCCTGTACCCTATGGTGTGAAGGGAGTGGTGTCAGGCTGGGGCATGGCTAAGGTCCCTCAGGTCACTTCCCTCAGCCCAGGGCATAGCTTCAGACCTAGGCAAAGCTAACACTCTCAAAGCCAGCCCTTCCAACCACCCCTGCCTAGAGGTGTCATCCCTTCAAGGATCCCAGGAGTGGCAGGCGGACCCCAGTCCCTGCTCCTCACCCAGTGCTTTCCATGACTTTCTGTGAGGCATCCCAGCAGGGGGGTATGTGCTGCTCCAGGGACCACAAGAAATAGCAGAGCCTCCGAACCAGCCAGCCCCGAAACCTGAACACAGCCCCGGAAGCAAGGGGAAGGTCTTTCAGAGAGCTTACCTCCCACTAAGGCCCATGGAGGGTAGTGCATCAGGGAGGAATCACACCCAGTCCCATGGCCAGGGAACACCTGAGTTTGGCTTATCACAGAGCAGGATGAGGAGGCACCTGCCCATCTGTGCCCCATTCCCACCCACTCGCCACTGAGTGGGGTACAGGTTCAGGGCCTGACACATCGTGGGCAGCCCATAAATACTAACAGAAGGAAGCACAGGTGTTTCCGCAGTTCCCTGCCTTTCCTGCCTGAGGGTATGGAGCAAAGGGTAGGGGCCCTTCTTTCCCACTGGATGGAGAAAATGACACCACAAGCAGGGGCCTAGCAGTCCCACACCTCAGGGCCCTGCCCACCCCTGGCTTTGCCTACCTGGTGTTCTCCTCCTTTACCAGGATCACATTGCAGAAGCCCAGATCCATTATGCTTCTGTGGAAGAGGGACTCCTGCCCAAGAGGGGCAGGGATGGCATGTCTTTGGGGGCCTTTGCAAACGGCAAAGGAAAGCCCCTGCTCTGCCTTCTGCAGTCTCTGCCTGATGGACTACGTGTCTACCAGGGAACAGGACTGTATACAGCATTCCCCAAAAGATCCTGACGCTCACTCAGGAAAAAGGGTTCTGCGGTCAAAGCGGAAGGGCTGCGTTCTCTACAGCACCGCCCCCCTGCAGAGTGGCATATTCAAGCTTCTGAGGTCTCTCGTAGACCGCAGAGAACATTCACGTAGCCTGGATCTCCACCAGAACTGTGGGTTCCATAAGCACCAGCACAGGAGGCATGGACCCACACAGTAGGACTTGAAGCCTGTGCTGAGTGCTGGGTGACTCTAAGTGGGCAGGTCCCCCAAACTGAACAACGGGACTGTGCAGGCACGGTCAGGCCCTAGCTCTCTGACCGCACCCTAACCTCTCAGGTGCCTCGGCACTTCCCCACCCAACTCTCCCAGGGCCGCGAGCCAGCCCCAGGCCAACCACAGCCAGTACCCGTGCTTCCATTCCCCTCTAAGACCAGAACAAAGGCATGGGCAGGGAGGGCCAAGCCTGGAAGGGCGTAAGGGAACCACAACCAAGCTACCTCAAGCTCCCCAGGCTGGGGCCCAGCCCTACACTACTCACCCAGCTCTTGGGGGTGCAGGTCTGGCAGCAGCGACCCACAAAGGGGCGATATTTCCCGAGGAATGGGGTGACAGCCTCCAGCTTCATCCCCAAGCCCGAGCTCCACGGGCTAGTCTGGAAAGTGGCCACAGGGAGGGGTGAAAAGACTCAAAGTCCTTGGCAGAAGGAGGGAGGCTCTAAGAGTGAGGTGTACAGGAGGGGAGGGGAGAGGGCAGAAGGTGTTCTGGGAATGGAAGGGGCCATACTACCTCCTGGCCATTCTGGCTACTGCTCTGCTGAGCTCGGAGTCTGGTTCCCAACATGGTGTCCATGGGGGTGGGAGGGCTGTAAGATCTGAGAACCAGCCACTTCTGCCTCTCTTCCTCTCACCACAGCAAACTGACCTGGGGAGAGATGGAAGGACAGAGCGGGTACTGGAGTCTGAGCCACAACCTGGAAGTCCTGATGTGACCAACAAATTCCCATCCCTGGGATAGAGAGACGACACCCAGGCCAGCAGTGGTGAGAAACTGGGCTGGAAGCTGACTTAGACCAAAGCCATGCCCTTTACTCCACTGGACCCACCACGGAGCCAGCTGCCCTCAAAAAGTCTCAGAGTCCAGATCGGGGGCAACCTGAAGGTTAACATAACAGAGGCCAGTTGTCTTACATCAGCACCCACCCTGCCATATCCCAGCACAGATGAGGGCTGCACTGGAGAGTCAGACCCTTCTGTGCAGAGGGAAAGAACAAGGCTGCGTTGGCAGGAGGGAGTTATGAGACGGCCAAAGAGGAACAGGACCATGGCGGCAAGACCACCGGGTCCTGCTCAGCTGCTCTTCTCATCCACACCAGAAGATGGCACTTCCCCTACTCAACCATCACCCGAATGTGGGCCAGGTACTAGGTGGTGATAGCTGGGAAGTCAGAACACTGAGAAATACCACACAGATCTGCCTCCAAGGAATGCTCTTCTTATTGGAAACAAGACAGATTTTTCTGAAATCCATCCTCCCATATAGCCCTCTAAGTAGACGATCCACTGGGTTGCTTCTCAGCCGCTCCTTCCCATAATACTCCCCTGAACTAACAAATGCCTATTCCATAAAGCAGCACGGAATCCCTCCTGGCCCCCGAAATTAGGCCCTAAAAACCCCTTTACCATGTCCCTGATGGGTAGGCTGGGCCAGTTACTCATGCTGTCCCTGCCCCACCACACGCTGCACATGCCCATGCAGATGTGCCTTCTCCCTTCCCACCAAATTCTGTCCATAGCTCTAAGTCCACGATGCTTACAGATCGCCCTTTAGGACAGGGGTGGGGAATGTCCGGCCGGTGAAATCATGTGGTCTGGCCTTGCCAAGGCATTAGGGGTGAGTTAATGAAATGTTTGACCAACTACAGCGGGCTGATTTTTAAGCTGATAATTTTGTATGGCCCACGAATGATGTTATAAATATCCAAGTGGTCCTTGGCAGAAAATAGGTTCCCCACCCCTGCTCTAGGGTTTTCCTCTCCTCCTTGCTGGGCTGGGCGCCTCCTCCAGAGCTGAGTTTCACTTCCTCTCATGGTCTGCAAGTGTCCTGTGGCCAGGGTGGCAGCTGCCTCATCTCTGCCTAGCAGTCTGCCCTGCATAGGCGAGGGGCCCAGTAAGTGCGCAATGACTGGCCGTAATTTCCTCTGGGTCTCCCACATCTCCCAATTAGCACTATTTAAAACCAGGAAGCTGAGTGGCACCAGGGTCACGATTCCTGCAGTGCAGGAGCTCGGGCAGACTCATCTCAAATGCACTTCCTACTTTGAAAATGTTCTCACAGCCCCATGCACAGACACTTGGCACAGGGAGCTCCCAAGCCAGGACTGCAATCTGGGGAACTCTGCTTGCTTTGCAAGGAGGGTGCCTTCCCCCAGCCCCAGGCCACCTCACTCAGAATCTACACCCACTAGATCCGTGCTCACCCTAAGGGGCCAGAAAGAAGAAAAGTCAGGGCCAGGGTAACTCCCACTTGCCTACAGCGGCACCTACTTGGCACACACAATCCAGAGGTCGGTTCTGGAAGATACCCTCCCACCTGGCACCTGAGCCCCCCAAGGGGGGGAGGGTCTGTGTCCGTCTGCAGCTCCTACTTGGACTTCCCTCCCCAGGCGGCAAGCTGCCATCCCGAGGGCCAAATGCAGTCCACACACCTCCTTGCCGCCACACAATATTCTGAAAGATGATGATAAAACTAGAGCTTGTTAGGTTAAAACGCATGGTTTCCAGCTGCTGCGGTGAAGAAAACAGCCCTGAGCCCTGGCCTGGCCTCTGTGGGAGGCGGCACACAGGCCTCTGGCCGGCGGCAACAAGACTGGCCACTACACCTGTTTGAGACTCCATCAGAGGGTGACATCCCGCTCTGCTCCCTACCAAGAAGCACGGCCTGAACGGGCCTCTTCACCCTCAGGCCCCGGCCCTGGCCCTCAGAACCTGGCCCTCACCAGGCGCACCGTGCGTGCTCCCTGCTCGGCCTGAGGCTGAGGAGAGGGCGTGAGCGGCTCTCGCGCGCACGTGCTCTCTCTCTCTTTCTCTCTCTCTCTCTCTCTCTCACACACACACACACACACACACACCTGTCTAGGGTGACCATAGGCCAGGCCCAGCGCAGCGGTGTCGCCAGTGTGGCCCTCACACCATGGCGGCGGGAAGGA